AAACACCTTCTCAAAACAATTTAAAAAATTCTTCTTTTATTCGTTCAAATTCTGAACCACCTAACTTGGATCATATTAAATGCAGGGCCTGTTCAGGATTTGGACATTATGCTAATGAATGTGCAAATACCTTGAGAAGGAGAGGAATGAGTTTGATTTGTGCTGTCAGTGATGAGGAGGAAGAACAACCTGAACAGACAGAGGAACAGCAATCCTCTAAACAAGCTCTTTCTGTCAGATATCTTACTGGAAGTTCCACTGAAACAGAATCCCAAAGAGTCTCCCTGGATGCTGCAACACTTTCTGAAACACTTTCAATTTGTGAGTTAAATACTGATCAATATACATGTTTAAACTCTATTTCTGTGAATGCAGCAGAATCCAGTAATGAAGCAGTCAGTGATGATGAAGAAATGTATAAAAAGCTGATCAGAAACTTGGAGAATAAGACTCAAGCTCTAGATGCAGCCAACAAAGAAAATTCCTCCCTCAAAGAAACAATCACACATTTGGAGGTTGGAATCACCAAGAAGGATCTTGAACTGGCAAAAGTGAAAGAAGAACTCAAAAAGGCAACTCTAGCAATCAAGAGGATGAACACTGGCACAACTAAGCTCGAAGAGATTATGTCAATGGAGAAGCACTACAAACATGAAGGGCTAGGGTTCAAAAAACAAATGAAGCCAGTTAAGAAGAAAGAAATTGTCTTTGTAAAAGAGAAGGGTGCAAACAGAAAGGATTGTAGGAAGTCCACAGTCACCACTCCAGATTCCAGAATAAGAGGTTATGTTTGTCATTACTGTTTCTCACCAGGACACATTCGTCCATTTTGTGAAAAACTCAGCAGTGACAAAATGTTGTATAAAATAAGCCACAACACTTCAAGGAACATTTCAAAGAAAAAGGTAGAATCTACCAAAAAAGAGTGTAAAATATGGACTCCCAAAGGTAAATTTTTGTGCAAAGCAGTGTACACCTCTTTAAATGCTAACATTTCAGGTTCATGGTACTTTGATAGTGGATGCTCCAGGCACATGACTGGAACAAAGGAATTTCTATCAAACTACCACACACTTAATGGAGGACGTGTAACCTATGGAGGAGGAGCTAAAGGCAAAGTAGTTGGACGTGGAACACTCAGTATTGAGGGGCTTCCAAAACTCTCAAATGTTTTACATGTTGAAGGATTGGGGTCAAATCTCATTAGTATCAGTCAATTGTGTGATGATGATCTACGTGTAGAATTTGATAAATACTGTTGTTCTGTGTTTGATAATCAAAATCATTGTGTACTTACAGGTTCCAGATCAATGGATAATTGCTATCAAACAGGTGACACCATCTCATGCAAGAGTTCAAGAGTAAGTGAAGTAGAGCTGTGGCACCAGAAACTAGGACATACAAACTTCAAGAATCTGAAGCTTCTCAACAAGTACAATGCCATAAGAGGAGTACCAGATCTCAAGATCAAGGATATTCTTATATGTGGAATGTGCCAGAAGGGAAAGCAAACCAGAGTACCACACAAAGTGTTGCAACACGTTGGTACCACTATTTGTTTTGAACTTGTACATATGGATCTTATGGGTCCTATAGAGGTAGAAAGTCTAGGTGGTAAAAAATATGTTTTTGTATGTGTTGATGATTTTTCAAGATATACTTGGGTGTATTTTTTGAGAGAAAAATCAGACACCTTTGAAGTTTTCAAAAATTTGTACAGGTTTGTTAGAACTCAATTTCAAGTTTCTGTTCGTAGGATAAGATCTGATCATGGAAAAGAATTTGAGAATGCTTTATTTTTTGCTTTTTGTAATAAAAAGGGAATAAAGCATGAATTTTCTGCTCCAAAAACTCCTCAGCAAAATGGCATTGCTGAAAGGAAAAACAGAACTATTCAGGAAATGGCTAGGGTGATGATGAGTGCAAAAAATTTGTCTAAAAGGTTTTGGGCTGAGGCTGTCAACACAGCCTGTCACATCTCAAACCGTGTGTATCTAAGATTAGGATCTATGATGACTTCATATGAAATTCTTTATGGTAAGAAACCTAATCTAGAATACATGCATGTGTTTGGGTGTGTCTGCTATGTTCTAAATGATAGAGATCATCTAGCTAAATTTGATTCAAAAAGTGATTTGAGCTTGTTTATGGGATACTCTAATAACAGTCATGCTTATAGAGTATACAATCTAAGAACTCGAACCATTATTGAATCTGTAAATGTGGTATTTGATGACTTTGCTGATCTCCGCAGTAAAACAGCTGAAGATGAAGTTGATGACTTGATTGCTGAAAGGGAAACAACAGAAGAAGACACTTCTGCCACAGAAAGCCCAGACACAAACAGTCCAGTCTCAAGAGAAGAAGGTGCTGAGCCAAGTGTCACCACATCTTACTCAACACATCCTACAGAGACTGAGTTGCAACCAACCCTAGATGTCTGCAGAAAGGAACCATCAAGCAGAATCCAGAAAAATCACCCATCAACTCAAGTAGTGGGTGATATCTTTGGTGGAATAAGAACCAGAAGAAAAGAGAGAGTGAACTACAGAGATATGGTAAGATTTGCTAATTTATCTTCTGAATGTGCACTAACTGGAACCACTTGTTTTGTGTCTTCAGTGGAACCCAGGAATATTGCAGAAGCTCTGAAGGATGAATTCTGGGTAAATGCAATGCATGAAGAGTTGAATCAATTCATCAGAAATGATGTGTGGTACTTAGTTCCCAGACCAAGCCATGTAAATGTGATAGGGACTAAGTGGATCTTCAAAAACAAAACTGATGAAAAAGGTACAGTTGTTAGAAATAAGGCTAGGTTAGTAGCACAAGGATACACTCAAATTGAGGGTATAGACTTTGATGAGACTTTTGCTCCAGTAGCTAGAATTGAATCAATTAGATTACTTCTTGCTATAGCCTGCTTTCTTAAAATCAAACTGTATCAGATGGATATCAAAAGTGCATTTCTGAATGGGGTTTTAAATGAGGAAGCATATGTTGAACAGCCAAAGGGTTTTGAAGATTCTGCCAAGCCTAATCATGTTTTCAAGCTTAAGAAGGCACTGTATGGTCTTAAACAAGCTCCTAGAGCATGGTATCAAAGACTCACTGACTTCTTACTTGAAATACAGTTCAATAGAGGGGAGGCAGACAGAACCCTATTTGTTAGAAGAACTAATAATCATATCATTATTGTTCAGATATATGTTGATGACATTGTTTTTGGCTCTACTTGTGCTAACCTTTTACAGTCTTTTGTAGATTCAATGTCTCACACTTTTGAAATGAGTATGGTAGGGGAGTTGAATTACTTCTTAGGACTCCAAATCAAACAGACAGGTGAAGGAATGTTTGTTAATCAGAAGAAGTATGCTCTCAATCTGGTTAAAAGGTTTGAGTTGGAATCAGCCAAGCACATGAAAACTCCAATGGGATCCAGCCAAAAACTGTCCAAGGATGATGTTGCAGAAGATGTTGACAGCACTCTCTACAGAAGCATGATTGGAAGTCTTCTGTATCTAACAGCAAGCAGGCCTGACATTATGTTTAGTGTTTGTGTGTGTGCCAGATATCAAGCAAATCCCAAGGTCACCCATCTTAAAGCTGTGAAGAGGATTATTAGGTATGTTGCAGGTACAGTAGACTTAGGGATTCAGTTTTTCAAAGACACAAATACAAACTTGATAGGCTTTAGTGATTCTGATTGGGCTGGGGATATTAGTGACAGAAAAAGCACATCAGGTGCATGTTTCTTTTTGGGGAATAATCTAGTTTCTTGGTTTAGTAGAAAGCAAAACTGTGTATCTCTTTCAACAGCTGAATCAGAATATGTAGCTGCTGGAGGGTGTTGTGGTCAACTAATTTGGATGAAACAAATGTTGGGAGATTATGGGTTAACCAGTGATACCCTGACCATATATTGTGATAATTCAAGTGCTATTGACATTTCAAAAAATCCCGTTCAACACTCACGAACTAAACACATAGATATTAAACATCATTTTATTCGTGATATAGTTGAGAAAAATATAGTGTGCTTAAAGTACATTCCTACAGAAGATCAGCTGGCTGACATCTTTACAAAGGCATTAGATTATGAGAGGTTTTCAAAACTCAGAAAATCTCTCGGGATGTGTACTCAATAAACATGTCCTGAAACGTGTTGCAGCACCTCATCAAATATCTTAAGTTGCAACACAATTTACTGAAGCATTAGCTTCATTAAATAATGACTTCACTGTGATGTATTATTTTCTAAATCAGTAACTGGAAGTCTTTCACCTTGAAACGTGATCATGTTTCATGTAAACATTTAGACAAATAATTACACTCACATAAGTCAAACTCCTCTATTTTGATAGTCATATCTTAGTAACTGAGGAACCTTCAAACTGAACACTTGATCATGTTCCATGTGAATTGTTTGACTTGAAAATAAGAGTTTATATATATATATATATTATTATAAAAAAAAAAAAAAAAAATATATATATATATATATATATATATATATATATATATATATATATATATATATATATATATGTATAATAATAAATATATAAATATACAGATATAATAGTATATATGCCTGTCAGCAAATTTTTCTCACTATTAATCATCAATAAATGTATTTTTCTATTATTTGTGAATATTTCTTGAGTGCTACGGTTTTATTGATTTTTTCTCTTTTCATTTTAATTATCCCTATTTATATGGGTCATGGGTACATGGGTTAATTCCTTATTTTCCACTAAGTCCACTCCTTATTGTGCCATGTGTCACGTTTTTATTTTAAACTGCCAAGGAAATTTTATTCTCCTTAATCACACTCTCCCCAAGAAAAACGGACACCACTTCTTCACCTTCTCCACTTCAATTTTTTTTCCTTCTTCTTCAGCAAAAATTAGGGCTTATAAATTTCGTGCTTCTTCTCACAAAATTCACACTCAAAAATCAAAAGCACAAAGAAGCAATTTTACTTTATCTACTGTATCATGGCATCCCCACCTAGAAATCCTCCTCCAGCCGTCGATGGTGATGTCCACAACGATGCTGCAGCACCTGTACCAGCAGACCCAAATCTGGCCATCATTGTTCATCCAATCAACTTTGAAGCTGTTCCTATCAGCTACATTGAGCCCGGCGACGAGCTGAACCCGATTGACCCAGACAACTTTGATTTTGTGGGTCCCTCTTCCACCGCCGGAAGATTTCCAACGCGTCGTTCAAAGCGCACGAACCCTTTTCCAGATCTGAACACTGCGGTGCCTCAACGCCGAAGAGGAGAAAACTCTCCCCGGAGAGGAAGCAGAGGTGGAAGAAGAGGAAGCAGAGGTGGCCGCACTCCAGTCCAGTCAAACCCACGAAGAGGTCTTCATCTGGTAGATGAAGAAACTGATGACGAAGCAGGGGATCCTACCTTTGCTGCACCACAGGCTCAAGCCTTGTCCTCCAGCTCCTCTGAGTCTTCATCCAACAACTCACCTTCCCCAGCATCAACTCAGGGGGAGACGTCGCAGCCCAGCATGGCAACAGCAGCCTCTCAACATTCTGTTCCTGAAGGTGTTGCTGCACCTGTTTCAGAAGGTGTTGCTGCACCTGTTTCAGAAGGTGTTGCTGCACCTGGTTCAGAAGGTGTTGCTGCACCTGTCTCTGAAGGTGTTGCTGCACATGCTCCAGAAGATGCTGCTGCACCTACTGTTTCAGCAAATGTTCCTCAGAATGCTGCTGAGGATGCTGCCCCTTATCAGGATGAAGAAATGCCTGATTTCTCTGGAATGTCATCAGCAGAGCATGTAGACATTCCATTTGTCGATGCTCAGGAGTTCACCACTACAGAAGAAACTCCATCAGCACCTCAGGGAGATCCTCTGGAAACCCTGGCAGAAGCAGCAGCTCAAGCAGATACAATTCCTCCTCAGGCTGAAGAATCAGAGAAAAGTGAAGACAGTTGGGAGGTTCCACTAGCTACTTTTCGCAAAAACTTGTCCTCGAACATCTCATCCCTTGGATGCTAGAGGCAGAGAGCAAGGAGTCAATGAAGAGGAGGCAAAGAAAGAGGGGGAAGCTCAAGAAGAAAGCAGTGGATCTAGTGATGGAGGAGGAGCAGCAGCTGAAACTGAGGAGACCTTGGAGACTTTGGATATTTTACTTTAGATTGTTTTCATGAACAATTTTTTTGTGTTTTGTTTATTTTCCCTCTGAACTTTTGTTTAGGACTGCACTTTGATTATTTCTTTTGTTGGACTATCTTGCTGAATTTGGTTTTAATTTATTGTTTCTATGTTTTTCAAATGGTATCAAATTCAGGGGGAGTTCAAGCAATATCTCAGGGGGAGTCTTTGACTAAGATTTAGTTTTGATCAGAAAGTTAAAAAGGGGGAGTTTGAAACACGTGAATTAATTTCACAATGTATTTTTAACTTTTCTTAACTTCTAAACTAAATCTTAGTTAGTGGGCTTAGTAGGGTTAAGTAGTGCTTAGTGGATTTAATTATGGGATTTATCTTAACTTCCTAACTAACCCACTAACCCATTATCTTGAGTGCTCTTGTGGTTGGTTTTCTTGCAGATCATGGGCTGAAGAGTGGAAGCTTGGCAAGTCTATAAATACCAAACTCAAGACTCAAGATTATCACAGATTTCGAGAAAACAAAATAGAGAGCTGAAGTTTTAATCTCGAGAATTTTAGTGTGTTTTCTAGGATCTGTTGTACGTACTATTTATAAGTACATTCTTTGAAATCTAGAATTTTTGATATCTTTCTTTTAGTATCTAGATTTGGTTGTAAGAGTGATCTTGAAAAAGATTCACTCATAAGGAAGAAGTTTTCGCACTCTTCTGTTTGTATTCTTGGAATACTGATTTTAATATATTTTCCGTCCTGTAAAGGGCAAGTTCACAAGTCTTTACTTGTGAACATTTTTAATTCTGAGTATTGTTCTTTTGTCTTTATATTTCCGCTGCTTGTTTGTTCAAGTGTCATAACACCTTCAACAACACCTCTGTATTAAACGAATTCGGGACCATAAATTATTTCAAAATGCTAGCCCACCAAACTCTAACTAATGGACTCTGCTAATTTGTTTATAACTAATCAAAACATAATGGTCCACACAGATGCCTTAGGCACATTCATACAAGGGGTGAATGGTCGAAGAAATCGGCAAATCATGTGATTATGTTTCGTGGTATACATTATTTTCTAAATTAAATATTGCAACTTAAGTTATGCAAATTTAATTCAGAAGGTCTTATATGGGGTTTTCTTGTTGGGGATGGTAGGAATAATGTGATTGTTCATGTGCTTTTGTTTGCTAGACACCACATATACTTTTGACCTCTTCATCACCACTCAATCCAACTTGATTCGCATGTGTACTACCGCCATTTACAAGTACTACTTCGTCTATATCTATATATAGATGTTTATTTGTAACAAACATTTCAGAACGCAATTCTCATATTTCAATTGCTTCACATAATCTCATAGACAATCCTTCATTTTTCGTCTTCAACAAAAAAAATGATGACTATTCACAAAATTCTTAGACGGTCGTTATCGGCTGAAAAGAGATCAAATGAAGTTCCAAAGGGGCATTTCGTTGTTTATGTCGGAGAAAGTGAAAAAAAGCGCTTCGTTATTCCATTGTCGTATTTGAACCACCCTTTGTTTCAAGAATTGCTATGCCAAGCCGAAGAAGAATTCGGATTCTATCATCCGATGGGTGGCCTTACTATTCCATGCACCGAAGAGTTATTCATTGATGTCACCTCTCACTTGAGAAAAGCATGATACACATGTAGTAATAGATCTTAGAGCAATACAATTTTGGTTAGCTAGTTCCTCAACATACTACTACTTTTTTATCCCTTTGTATATACATTGAAAAGATTTGTACACTCTTGAGCAATTTTAATATGTAATTAGTTATATACTTACAAGTTCTTGATATATTCTCCCTTTGACATGATTGCTGCAAGTGCTAATGCAGATTTAATTACAATAAGAAGAAGAGAAAACAAGAGTACTATCCCACATCGATAAAATACAATTTAGATAGGGATCTAAGGAATTAGATAAAGAGAAGAAATGTGGTAATGAAAATTACTTACCTGGACGGGGTTGATAGACGATCAAGAAGGTCTATAGCCTATGCTTGCGACTTCCATTGCACTTTGGAGGGGCGCTTGCGTAAGGTCGGCCCAAGTGGCCGAGCCTGCGTCATAATTTGTGTCAGAGGGGGCCTGCGTTCGCGCGGCCCCCGCCCAATTCTAGTTCAAAATGCTATTAGAATTAGTATTTTTGTTATTATTTAATTAACTTGGATAATGAGGTTAAGTTTTACACAGTCCATTTTGGATGCCAATTATTTAATTAACTTGACTAATTAATTTTTTTTTTTAATAATGAAGATACATTCTTGTTATCACATGGTGGACCAAGTCAATATATATATGTGTAGACATCAATGTATAACCAAACGGATTAATAGACAAGTTGGTGGCCATAATTGAGTATATGAGTGCAGACTGTAGAGGGCCATTTTGTTAGAGGTGGTAGGAACATAATTTCAAATCACACATATTCTTGTTGCCTTAGAAATATTTTTGATAATTTCAAAAACAAATCCATGTGACTCCATATGTATATGTTTTCCCAAGTTTCATACACCATGTATCCATTCTCCACTTCCACCACATATCTATATTTTTTCAAGCATATACAATTTATAGTTCACCTATATATACAAACACCATTTTCTTGATTTCAACCATCAAAAAAATACTCTTACCTTTCTCAACTCTCACTCATTTCACAAACTTTCAAAAAAGTTTTCGATAAAGCAAAATTAACTTCGTACAAAGATGGCCATACGACAGATGTTGAGACGATCTTTATCCAACGAAAGAAGATCAATCGAAGTTCCAAAGGGCCATTTTGCAGTTAATGTTGGAGAGAGTGAAAAGAAGCGTTTCGTTATTCCATTATCATATTTGAATCATCCTTTGTTTCAAGATTTGCTATGCCGAGCCGAAGAAGAATTCGGATTCCATCATCCAATGGGTGGCCTAACCATTCCTTGTAGTGAAGATCGATTTGTGGATTTAACTTCTCGTTTGAGCAGAACATGATATATATTGATACATAGGTTTAGGAGGATCGAGATTTTGTAAATTTAGCTTTTCTTCTCGAGAAACATTCTTCTCGTTTGCTAGACAAAGATGTGTAAAGTATGTAACTGGAAAATATATTTCATTAATTCACCCTAATTACAGCTTATAGTCACATATATATACAAGTAGAGATGTTTATCTATAAGCTAAATAAAAGGAGTGATAAGATTAGGTTGTTGCGTGAGAGATTCGGGGAGATGAGATTTGCATGGTTGTTTCTTCCGTTTGAGAGTTTGATGGTGAACAATCTCTAATACGCCCCCGCAAGACGGTACTCCCATTGGAGACACCGATCTTGGACCGAACAAGACTAAATAGAAAAGAAGACAACGGCTTCGTAAGAGCATCCGCTAGTTGATCTTTTGATGCAATATGAGAGACCGTAAAGGATCCTTTGGTAACATGGTTTCGAACGAAGTGATAATCAATGGCAATGTGTTTCATACGAGAGTGGAACACCGGGTTGACAGAGAGGTAAGTCGCACCAATGTTGTCACAAAAAATCTTCGGAGTAGTGGTGGGGTTGATGTGAAGTTCCTGGAGTAAATTTTTCAGCCAAAGGACTTCAGTAGCACATGAGGCAAGAGCCCGATACTCCGCTTCAGTAGATGATCGAGCAACTGTCTTTTGCTTCTTGGAAGACCACGATATTGCATTACCCCCTAGATAAACAATGTAAGCAGAAGTTGAGGTACGATCGTCACGATTGCCAGCCCAATCGGCGTCGGTGAATGCCGTGAGAGTGAGCTGCTGATCCTTCTTGATAAAGAGCCCGTGATGGATGGTGAGTTTTAGATAGCGTAGAAGTCGTTTAGCTGCAGTCCAATGAGCCTCTGAAGGGGAGTGCATGAATTGGGCTAGTTTATTCACCGCATAAGATATATCGGGCCTCGTAAGAGAGAGATACTGGAGAGCACCAACGACTTGTCTGTACTTAGTGGAGTCAGCAGCTGGACAACCATCATGAAGGTGAAGCGGCTGAGTAGAGGACATGGGTGTCGTGCACGTTTTAGCACCAATCATATCAGTTCGTTCAAGAAGATCCCGTATATACTTGTGCTGTGTGAGGAGAAGTCCGGAGGGGGTTGGTAGTACCTCAATGCCGAGAAAGAAATGGAGATCCCCAAGGTCCTTAACCGAGAAACGAGCAGCAAGAGCCGACAGAAAATTTTGTAAGAACTTGCTGCAACTTCCAGTCACTATCAAATCATCAACATATACCAAAAAGAAGCAAGTAATGGATTCTTTATGATATATAAATAAGGAGGCATCACTGAGTGAATTAGAAAATCCATATGAAAGCAGGAAACCTTTTAATTCATTATACCAGGCCCGCGGAGCTTGCTTAAGACCATATATGGCTTTGCACAGTCTGCAAATATAACTTGGATTTGATTGATCAATGAATCCCGGTGGTTGCTGCATATAGACCTCCTCAGATAATGATCCATGGAGAAAAGCATTATTTACATCCAATTGGCGAAGAGGCCAGCCATTGGATAATGCAACCGAAAAAATTACGCGAATGGTCGTGGGCTTGACAACAGGGCTGAATGTGTCATGAAAATCAAGGCCCGGACGTTGATGAAAACCCTTAGCCACAAGACGAGCTTTGTATTTTGAAATAGAGCCATCCGGATTTCTTTTGATTCGGAACACCCATTTGCAGCCAACGACGTTTTGAGTTGAGGAGGGAGGAACGAGTTCCCACGTGCCATTACGGAGAAGAGCGTTCAACTCATCAGACATGGCCTGCCGCCATTCGCCTTGCTTCATTGCTTGGGTTACACATGTTGGTTCAACTGATTCCGGAAGAGGATGATTGGTGGAGATTTGATAAAGACGTTTGGGCTTGAATATATGATTCTTCGAGCGAGTAACCATGGGGTGAGATGGGGCTGGTGGAATGGGATCATGAGCGAGCAAAGAAGCATCATGCAGATGTTGAGAAGATTCCGTACTTGAGGTACCCGAACCCACAGAAGTAGGCGGCATAAGATCTATGAGAGGCGTAGCTCCAAGTTCAACTTCAGCTGGCTTTTCCGGCAATATTTGTGTGACAAGAGGCGGCCAAGAAATAGAGTTTGAAGGAAAACTTGGTGGATTGTAGACGAAATTGGAAAAGGGAAATGTGGACTCGATGAATCGAACATGACGTGATGTGTAAATTTTATTGCTTTTGATATCAAGACAGTAATAGGCACTTTGGTTAGGGGAGTAGCCAATGAACGAGCAAGGAGAGGAGGTTGGCTCAAGTTTATTGGTCGTGTATGGTTTTAGCCAGGGAAAACATAAGCAGCCAAAAACTTTTAGCTTTTCATAATTTGGCTTTTGTGAGAATAATTTCTCATATGGCGTGGAACAATTCAGAATGGGTGTCGGGAGACGATTTATGAGATAAACGGCGGTTTGGAAAGCATAGGACCAATATTTTTGTGGCATTTTTGCTTGATGAAGAAGGGTGAGGCCTGTTGACACAATGTGTTTATGACGTCTTTCTGCGGCACCATTGTGTTGAGGAGTGTGGGGTGGTGTTTTTAAATGTTGAATTCCCTCGTTGGATAGAAAAGTTTTTAAGGCCGTATATTCACCACCTCCATCGGAGTAGATAGTGGTTATAGGCCGTTTAAAATATTTTTCAACAAGAGTTTTATATTGGCGAAAGATCGAGTAAACATCGGATTTTAGACGTAGGGGGTAAAACCAAATATATTTTGTATAATGGTCGACAAAGATGACATAATAGTGAAAACCATCGATGGATGGAACTGGAGAAGGGCCCCATACATCGGTGTAAACAAGGTCTAATGGACCAGTACTCGTTAATGTTGAATCACCAAACGGCAAACGTTGGCTCTTATTACAAAGACAAGACTCGCAATAGAAAGACATAGGAAAAGATGAAGAAAGGGAAAGCAGACCAGAACTAACTAGAGATTTTACTATTTTGGGAGAAGGATGACCAAGACGCCCATGCCAGATTGCCGGAGAAGCCAAGGAAGAAACACCAGTAGAGAAAGCCTTGGGCGGGTGAGTAGTTACATCCTTGAAGTTTGGCCACTCATAGAGATCATGTCGATTCCGTCCGTGGAGCAGAGGTGTCCCCGTACGTAAATCCTTGACAACAAAGTGAGAAGAAAAGAATTCAATGGATGCACGATTTGCACGACAAAATTTAGCTACGGAGATTAAATTTTGTTTAATAGAAGGCACACATAAAATATTGGATAAAGTAAACAAGGGAGAAATAAGTGTAGAACCCGTGTGAGTGATAGATAAACCTGAACCGTCACCGATGTGTACATCATCGGGTCCCCCATAAGGTTGATGAACTGAAAGATTAGATAATTGAGAAGTGACATGATGAGAAGCACCCGAGTCCAAAATCCATTGATTATTTTGTGGTGAAGCTACAGTGGTGTGATTTGCCGAAGGGTGATTGTGTCGCAGATGAGGAAATAGCTTGAAACAGCGTTTTGCATCATGGCCCCGTTTGTCACAATATTGACAGAGTGTCTGAATAGATCGAGTGGGGAAATTTTTGGGCTGGTGAGGGGTAGGTAGGACACCATGGCTAGGTGTGATAGACGAGCGTTTTGTTTGGCGAAAGCGAGATGGGTGTGTAGCAATATGAGCAGTGGGTGGTGTGACATCAGAGTACTGTTTCTCATTGTGCAGCAGGAAGGATTCATGATCAATGATTTTATCAAAGAGTTCCTCAAAAGGAACCACAGAATCCCGAGTCCGTAAAGCCGTGATCAATTCTTTGTAAGCTATTCCAAGGCCACGGGTTGTGTAGATCAACAAGTCGGCATCGCTCGGGGGATCACCAAGAGCTGTTAGTTCATCGGCAATTTGCTTGATGGAGACAAGAAATTCTGTAACAGAAGAAGTCCCACGGGTGATAGATGAGAGTTTGTCTTTGAGGTGAATGATGTGGGATGTAGATCGCTTGGCATAGAGACGATGTAGTCGATTCCAAGCGTCTTTACTTGTGGTGGCAGACGAGACAAGAGGGATGACAGCCTCACTGAGAGAGGCGAAAATAGCATGAAGAAGTAATTGATCTTGGCGGCGCCAAAGGATGTGTTCCGGATTGGAGGAACCATCTGCAGATGTGGTAGCCGTCGGACATGGTTTGGAACCGTCTAAATAGCCAAGAAGGTCCAGACCATAAAGAAGAGCATGAAATTGTGCTTTCCATGAAAAATAGTTGGTGGAGGTGAGCTTTAGAGGTAATTGGGCAGCAGCATTTATTGTAACTAAGGAAGACATGGTGGTGCTAGATGAAGAAGTCATCGGCAGATTTGGGAAAAGAAAAAAAAATTGCAGGATCAGAGATCTCGTTTGAGAAAGGCTCTAGATACCATGTAAAGTATGTAACTGGAAAATATATTTCATTAATTCACCCTAATTACAGCTTATAGTCACATATATATACAAGTAGAGATGTTTATCTATAAGCTAAATAAAAGGAGTGATAAGATTAGGTTGTTGCGTGAGAGATTCGGGGAGATGAGATTTGCATGGTTGTTTCTTCCGTTTGAGAGTTTGATGGTGAACAATCTCTAATAAGATGATGGTCTATCAATCAAAGAAATATATGAAAGCACAAAATTAGAGTACATATACAAATTACATATTCGAGCAACAAGTTTTCTATAGTAAGTCCATTACAAATTAGTTATTTACAACAGATAATTCTGTCAACAAATTTCCAAGTCACTCTTCCAAGTTTTAATTAAATTAATAATAATTTAAGTTCTTTGAATAATAAATTTGGTATTTTTCTATCTAATAAAAATTGAACTAATAAAAATTGAACTTTAATTGTTGGGGCAATTTCCTAATGGAAAATTAACCCTCCAAAAAGAGGCGTATGCTGCTTAAATTGCAGCAAACACACGGTATTCTTTAGTAAAAGGCGAAAGAATAGTTCGCTATGTGTTTACTGCACAGCTGCGTGAGTTCACAAATTAGTTGCTGCCTTGAATTTATATATCTGGCTTTCAAGTATTAGTTGGTCAGTTTTCGATGTGGGATTCTTTGTCCGAGCCAAAATTGAAGCATCAGCAGTTATAATAAACTATTATTTGGTTTTGTTTCGATGTGGAATACTTGTCTTCAGTACGAGCAAACAATTAATTCCTGAATAAAATTGGACGTTCAGTTTGCTTCTCAGTACACTTAAACAAGATTGATGACAACTTGCATTGCAATGTTAATAAAGTTGAGAGAAAATTAAAGGAAGGGCAAAAAATCGAAAACATTGTAAATGATAACCATATGCAGTTGATGTGATCATCATAAAGAGCTTAAGAACTTGTAAATAGAAAAGGGTATTTCAGATATCAAAATGGCTCAGATTATACTAAAAATATTTTATATGTAATACCACTAGTTTGTCCGGAAATACATTTTGTATCCGACAAAGTATCTTCTGTGTGAACGAATAGGAAAAATATGTGAAGAATCTAGCTAATAAAAATCCTACAGCTCTAAGAATAACTCATGTTCTACTCAAATGAGAGGTGATATCAGTGAATAACTCTTCATTGCAAGGAATTGTGAGTCCGCCCATCGGATGATGGAATCCCAATTCTTCTTCAGCTTGGCATAGCAATTCTTGAAACGAAGGATTGTTCAAATATGATAATGGAATAATGAAATGCTTCTTTTCACTTTCTCCAACGTAAACAGCCAAATGACCCTTTGGAACTTCATTTGATTTTCTTTCGTTGGATAAAGATCTTCTCAGCATTTGTCGGATGGCCATTGTTGTGTAAATTGACCTTGCTGTTTAGTTGAATCCGATAATTTTCTTTAAAGTATTGTGATAGATGAGAAAGCTAGTTGATGGTTGTAAATCAAGAAATGTTGTTTTGTATTTATAGGCAACCAATAATTCCTATTATCCTTGATAAACATACGCAAATGGAGTCACATGGTTATGTCTTTGAATCAACATAAATATTTTTAGGCAACAATAATTTGTGGGATCGGAAAAAAATTGTATCCTACTAACTGTGGCAACGATGGTCCTCAGACGACCATATTGCAATAATTTAAGTAACTAATTTTGATGTGGGACTCGTCCTCTAATAATCAGATCAATCGATAACTTATTCAAGGCTTAGTAGATAGCTGTGTTTTCGTGTCGCTAGATAGATGAATGGACTTCACTTATTGAATTTTTGATTAATAGAATTCAATTAGGGGCCGTAAAACGGGGCCAACTACACCAGCAAATGGAAGTTCACATGTCAAATTGCCTGTAAGGGTCTTCATATAGCATGAGAGAGTTTGATGTA